ATCTTGTCTTTTTTCATTGTTGAATTTTGGGAGTTCTTTATATATTCTGCATATTAATCTTTTATTAGATGATTTATGCTTTGCAAGTATTTTCCTCCAAGTCTGGCTCCTCTTGTAATTTTCTTAAGAGTGGAAATTTTTTATTTTGATAAAATCTGATTTTTTCTTTTATGGGTGATATCCATTTTCTATCTTTTGCCCAACAGAAGTTGTATGATTTCCTCTATGTTCTAGAAATTTTACACTTTCATGTATTACAGTGGGTCTGTGTATCATTCTGAATCACTTTTAGATCAGTTTGGGAGAATTGACCTCTTAATAATATTGAGTCTTATGATAACTGAACAAGTTATATCTCTTCATTTGTTTATGTCTTTTAAAATTTCAAGTGTTTTGTTTCAGCTCTTGCACATCTTTTGCTAAATTCAGCATTAAGTATTTCATAGATTTTTATGTAAAATGGTATTGAAGATTTAAATAATTTTTCAACTTCCCTTTGTTCATGGCTAACATGTAGGAACATATGTCTTGATTTTTTTAAATGTTTATTTTATATCCTCCAACCTTACTAAACCTGCTTATTAGTGCTAGGAGCATTCTGCTTTGTTTTTTATTCTATAGATTCCATTGGATTTCTATATTCTTCCTTACCAATCTGGTTGATTACTAAGGGAAAATATTTAATCTTTATTTTAGGTGTGATATTAACTGTAACATTAGGTACATTGACATTGTTTTGCAACCGTCACCACTATAAATTTACCAAACTTTTTTATTATCTCAAACAGAAACTTTACCAGTTAAACAGTCACTCCTACTACACTCCCCCCTAAGCTCCTAGTAATCTTTATTTCATTTTCAATCTCTATGACTTTGCCTAGTTTAGGCACTTCATACAAATAGAATCATACAAAATTTGTCCTTTTGTGACTGGCTTCTTTCCTTTGCATCATGTCCTCAAGATTCTTCCATGCTGTTGCATGTGTCAGAATTTCATTCCATTTTATGGCTGAATTGTTCCAGCCTATCATGTAGCACATTTTTTAAATCAATTTAGTTTTGGTTCCTGGACCCAATTCCAATTTGTGTGGAAGGCGTGTCTTCAATGTCATCAGTTCTTGAGACGCTAGCTGGCCCAATTTTGATATCTAACCAGAGATAGCATCAGATCTTACAGGCTAAGGGTTTAGTCCTATGGGACTGCCCACTTCCTCCTGTCTCCACTCCGCCATCAGTACTTCAGATGCCAGTCCAAATCCCAGGTTGTCACCTGTGCTTCTGACTGGCTATACATGCGGGTTCCCACAGTCTCCTCCTTAGACTTCAGATATCAGTCACAAATTCAAGTTGTTACCTGTACTTATAACTGATTGGCTGTAAATCAGTTTCCCTCTAGTCTCTCCTCAGGTTCAATTAATTTGCTAGAGCAGCTCACAGAACTCAGAGAAACGTTTCACTTACTACATCACTGATCTATTACAAAAGGAACAGACAGATGGAAGAAATGCATAGGGCAAGATGTGTGGGAAGGATTGTAGAGCTTCCGTACACCCCTCATCCTAAAGTCAATGTGGAAGCTCTTTGAACCCTCTTGTTTTTGTTTTTTATAGAGGCTTCGTTATATAGGCAGGATTGATTAAATCATTGGCTATTGGTGATTGATTCAACCTCCGGCCCTTCTCCCCTTCTCCACAGAGATCAGAGATGGAACTGAAAGTTCCAATCCCCTGTTCACAAGGTTGGGTCCCCTGGAAACCAGTCTCCATCCTTACATGGAGTCTAAAAGCCACTTCATAAACATTACTGCAAAAAAAAAAAGCTCTTGGAATTTCCATATAGATTGTGTTGATGAATCTGTAGATTTCTGGGTGTACTGTTGTCATCTTAACAATGCTAAGTCTTTCAACTCATGAACACGGCATCTCTTTCCTTGTACTTGTGTCTTCTTTAATTTCTGTCAGCAGTGTTCGTAGGTGTCAATGTGTAAGTCTTAAACCTCCTTGGTTAAATTTATTCTTAAGTCATTTATTCTTTTTGATGTTATAAGTGGAATGGAATGTTTTTTTTAAATATTCTTTTGGGATTTTTCATTGCTACTATATACAGATGCCACTGATTTTGTATTGATTTTACATTCTACATCTTTGCTGAATTCATTTATTCTTGCAGGGTTTTTTTGTGTGTGTATGTATGTGTAGAATAGTCAATAGGATTTTCTGTATATTAAGAGTATATTGTCTGAATAGATATAATTTTACTTCTTCCTTTCCACTTTGGATGCCTTTTATTTCCCTTTTCTTTCCTAATTGTTCTGGCTAGAACTTTATAGTGAGAGTGGGCCTCCTTGGCCAGTTTTTCATCTCACAGGAAATGCTTTCATGTTGGTGAACACTTGGAGGTGCTGGGAGGATGGCAGGCTTTGAGGAGGGCATGGAAGCCATGTGCCCCTTCCCACATTCCTTGCCCTTTGTGTCTCTTTCATTTTACTGTTCCTGGGTTGTATCCTTTTATTATACCTGTCTTATTTATAGCCACTTGGTCAGAAGCACAGTTAACAACCTGGATTGTGATTGGCATCTGTAATGGCAAGTGCAGTAGTGTTGTGGGACTGAACCTTTACTCTGTGAGATCTGACTCTATAATTCCAGGTTTGTAGGATCAGAGCTGCACTGAATTGTAAGACAGCCGCCTGGTGTCCCTGGAGAGATGGAGAATTGCTTCTTTTGGGGGAAACCCCTACATATCTGGTCACAGAAAATGTTCAGTTTTGTAGTGGAGGAGAAACATGGGAGTGTTCCTAGAGATTCTGCTTCTAGTATGAGCTCCTTGTCATCCACATGAGGAGGTTAAAAAGATATTTTAATCAAATCTAGTAGTAAGAATTTGGCAAAGTCAAATTGATCAAAGAGGTTCCCACATTCTGCTGCCAATGAAGTCAGATTAACAGCCACTTGGAAACAGAACCAGGCCTGGTGAAGGAACAGTCTGAGCATATGAGGGCTAAAGAGCTCAATGGCAGCTCATTAGAATCACTAGAAGAGACAAGGGAAGATGAATGGGGACTTGAGGGGTCTCAGTCTAGATGAGGCCCTGTCAGCCTAACTGTGTGTGTTGACTTTGATGGTAGGGTGTTCTCTGTAACTTTGAGATCTGTTAGATGTGTTAGAAGAATAACTTGGAAACAATTATCAACATCTTTGAGATGTGTTAGAAGAATAACTTGGAAAAAGTTACCAACATGTAAACTACATGTGACAGAGACAGTCATTAGGCTGTCCAGAAACACACAGAAACAGGAAATTATAAAAGAGAAAGGTGATTAGAGGAAGGTAGGAAAACAAACATTCTGGGAACAGTGAGTTTCTTTTCTTGGGTAAACTAATTAGCCAGTAACTAGGAAAAAGGCCAGCTTGCCCCTGATCATGCTGTCTGTGGTTATTAAGGAAAAAAGAGTTCTCCGCTCTCTGAACAACCTTGAGAATTTAACTGTAAAATACGTATGACAGGCTATCTCTCTGTGGATCTACCAATGGCCTTGATTTAGTATGTGCACCAAGTCAGAACTATTACCCTTATCTGGAGTTTCTTAGGTTTTCTTTTATTTTTTAAACTGATATGAATAAAATGTAAGGAATTTCATATATATATATTTTTTAATCCAGATATAGTATATACAAGGTTACTTAACGTGGGATTTTGGGGGGAGGTGGGTTGCAAAGAAACTTTATACTTAGGCTTTCCTTGGGCTATGTAATTGGTACAATCCTTTAACTAATGGTTGCACATCGTCCTAGGCATGGCTTTAACAACTCCTTTATCACTTTAGCCCTAAACACCAAACTGTTTTTTTAATCTTTGGCACACAGAAGACCTGTCATAATGCACATTTTGAAATGCATTTTTATGCCTAATTTGTATATGTAATGGATTACCAGAAATCATCCAAGAATTACTAATATATTTCCTCATTGGTGACAGGTGTTCTATTAAACAGTTAGTATATGGGGGTGCTGTTCATCTTAGTTGTGGCTTTTCTGAATTAATTGTGACAAGCTAATAAGATCTTTTGAAAGTTACTTTCCAAACTTCTTGAGCTAATGTTTTCCCTCTGGCCAGGGGGGTAGACTGCATATTATTTCTGATACTCTTTAAAGGCCTGTGGACAGTTACTTTCATTCAAGCCAGATGGCATGTGTCAACTCCTTTTCCTGAAAAGGGAGATGTTTTGGGGAGTTGCTGTAGTAAAACCTTATGTGACTTTTTATGAAGCTCTTTTTCTCTTTATGTAAATTACTACCAATAGAAGAATTTTACAGAACTGTGAGCACCCCCTTCCCCCCGTCTTTCACAAGGGTTGGTCACAGTTTTTTTTGTGTGTGTAAATTCTCTTACTGAAATTGTGCAGTAGTAAGTGATCATTGATAAAGTTATATAAAACTAATACTGCTTTTAGGATAAAAATAAACAAAACAAAGAATTTACAAGATAAGAAGTGGCTCCTTTATATTTTTACTAGTTTTCCAGGTTTCCTACAGTCAGAATCCAAATTAGGGAGTTGGTTAGCTGGGAATGACACTCTTAATAATAGTGTGTAGATGCTTAGGGAGCCTCTGAAAATTGCCTGGTTTTCACAGCCTGCCCTACATAGTCTTTTGTACTTAAACAGTCTGAATTCTAACTCTTGGCTTGTAATGTGCATGTTCAATCTCCCCCTTACACTGAATTTTATTTTTTCAGTAAAATTTTTATTTTTTCAGAAGCACAGGTAGGTGAATGTTTGAATCCTATAAACATCTGGCTTTCATTTATCCTGACTAAATCCTAAGGTGCTGAACTTTAGTGACACTTTTTCTTTTATCTTTACATCCATAACTCTTAAGAACTTGGGGTGTGAATTAGGGCATTTGGTTAAGTGACTTTTTTGTTTTCTGGTGTTCTTGGTAATTGATTTTAAAAATATATCTTACTGGGATTCTTACCAAAATTTTTATTTTTTCAAGGTGTTGACTTTAAAGTGAAAACAATTTCAGTGGATGGAAATAAGGCTAAACTTGCAATATGGGTAAGACTTTTAAAATGTATTTGTATAAATATGAAATTGTACTTTTTAAAGAAGTAAATCTTGGTGTTTATAGTTTTTTAGAGGTGAATGAACAATTTGTATTGACTAACTTTTGGGAAATTTGATGTTGATTAAAGGATAAGCAATAAATAATTATATCTTATAGTTGGGTAAGAGACCTGTTTTATTTAAATTTTTCAAATATAGAAGTCCATTCAGAATATTAAAAAACAGAAAAATATTTTAAAAATTATCTTGCATGCCAGAAAGAATTATTGTTATTGGTTGTATTTCTTTAAAGTTTTAAAAAGATAACTTAGACTAAACTAACATAACACTAAAGGCAGTTGTTGGGGAAAAGGGAAATGGAGTTATACTTAGAAGAAATATTTATGTTTTAAGTATAAATATTTATAAAATTTGAGTTTTCCAATGTTGGGCTTATTTTTTATTGTTGTTCAAGTACAGTCTGTTTTCTCCCTACCCCTTTTCCACTCCATGCCCAGTCTTTACATACTGCCTTTTCTTTCATTTGCCTGTCAACCAAACAGTTCTGATCTACATTGCTCTGCTGACAAGACATCTTCATAGTAATGCTGAATAGGTAGCTTAATTTAAAAAACATTTTTATTGAATTTATTGGAGTGACATTGGATAATAAAATTATATCGGTTTCAAGTGTACCATTCTATAATACATCATCTGTATATTGTATTGTATTTACCACCCTACATCAAGTCTCCTTCCATCACCATTTATCCCTCCTTTACCCTCTTCTACCTCGTCTCTCTTCCTCCTTTCCCCCTTGTCATCACCACACCATTGTCTGTGTCTGTGAGTTTTTTTTAACCCTTCAACTTTTTAACCCAGTGCCCCCAACTCTCCTCTCCTCTGACAGCTGTCAGTGTGTACTCTACCTGTGAGTCTGTTTCTATTTTAATTTTATTTTGTTCATTAGATTCAACATTTAACTGAAATCATATGGTACTTGTCTTTCTCTGATTGGTTTATTTCACTTAGCAAAATATTCTCTAGGTCTGCCCATGTTGTCACAATTGGAAAGATTTCCTTCTTTTTTGTGGTCAGGTAATATTCTATCATGTAAATGTACTACAGTTTTTTTATCCATTCACCTACAGGTGGGCACTTGGGCTGCTTCCAAATTCTGGATATTGTAAATAATGCTGCAGTGAACAAAGGGGTGCATGTATTCTTTTGAATTAATGTTTTGGGTTTCTTTTATTATTTTCCAAGAAGTGGAATTCCTGGGTTATAAGGCAGTTCCATTTTTAATTTTTTGAGGAAACTCCATATGGCTTTCCATATTGGCTGCACCAGTCTGCATTTCCACCAACAGTGCGCAAGGGTTCTCTTTTCTCTACAACCTCACCAACACCTGTTGTTTTATTGATGGTAGCCATTCTGACAGGTGTGAGGTGATAATCTCATTGTGATTTTAATTTGCATTTCTCTAATGATTGGTGATGTTGAGCATCTTTTCATATATCCATTGGTCATCTGTATGTCCTCTTTGGAAAAGTGTCTACTAAGGGTCTTTTGCCCATTTGTAAATAAAATTGTTTGTTTTTGGTGTTGAGTTGTATAAGTTCTATATAGGTTTTGGATATTAACCCCTTATCAGATATATTATTGATGAATATGTTCTCCCACAGCAGGTTGTCTTTTCATTTCGTTGAAGGTTTCCTTTGCTGTGCAAAAACATTTTAGTTTAATGTAGTCCCATTTGTTATTTTTCTTTTTTTTTACCTTGCTTTAGGAGATGTATCAGAAAAAATATTACTAAGAAAAATGCCCAAGATTTTACTGCCTATGTTTTCTTCTAGGATTTTTGTGGTTTCGAGTCTTACATATAAGTCGTTAATTCATTTTGAGTTTGTTCTTGTGTATGGTATAAGAAGTTGGTTCTTTTTTTTTTTTGCACTTATATGCCCAGCTTTCCTAGAACTATTTACTGAAAAGACTGTCTTTACCCCATTATATGTTCTTACCTCCTTCTTCAAATATTAATAGATCATAAAGGTGTGGCTTTATTTTTGGTTGCTCTATTCTTTTTTTTATTTTTCCTTTTATCGACACTAAAGAGAGGGGAAGGGACAAAGAAAAGGAGAGAAACATCAGTGTGGAAGAGAACCCCTGCCTCTTGTACATGCCCTGACGGGGTACCAAACCCACAACCCGGGTGTGTTCCCTGACCAAGAATCAAATCACGACGTTTCAGTTTGTAGGATGATGCCCAACCAATGGAGCCATACCAGCCAGGTCTTGACCTTCTGTTCTGTTCAGTTGATCTGTATGTCTGTTTTTGCCAGTATCATGCCGTTTTGATTACTGTAGCCGTCTAGTATAGTGTGACATCAGGTAGTGTGATTCCTCCTCCAACTTTGTTGTTCTTTGTCAAGATTGCTGTGGTTATTCAGGTTTTTTTGTGGTTCCACGTAAATTTTTGGAGTATGTTCTAATTCTGTGAAATATGCCATTCATATTTTGATAGGAATTGCAATGAATCTATAGATTGCTTTGGGTAGAATGGACATTTTAATAATGTTAATTCCTCCTATCCATGAATACAGTACATGCTTTTATTTATTTGTATCTTCTGCAGTTTCTTTCTTTGGTGTCTTAAAATTTTCCGAGTAGAGGTCTTTTATATCCTTGGTTAAATTTATTCCTTGGTGTTTTATTTTAGTTTTTGAAACAGTCCACTCGGATAGTTTATTGTTGGTACATAAAGATGCACCTGATATCTGTATGTATTTTGTGTTCTCCTGCACTACCAAATTCCTCTATCAGTTCCAGTAGTTTTGCCCATTGAGTACGATGTTAGCTGTGTGTTTGTCACCTATGGTCTTTATTATGTTTAGGTGCAATTCCTCTATTCCCACTTTGCAGAGAGTTTTTATCATAAATGTGTGCTGTATTTTATCAAATGTTTTTTCTGTATCTATTGATATGATCATGTGATGTTTATCCTTCATTTTGTTTATGTCATGTACCATGTTTGTTGATTTGCAGATATTGTACCAACTTTGCATCCCTGGAATAAATCCCACTTGATCATGGTGTATGATCTTTGTAATGTATTGTTGGATCTGGTTTGATAATATTTGTTGAGGATTTTAGCATTTATGTTCATCAGGGATATTGGTGTATACTTTTTTTCCTTGCAGTTTTTTTTATCAGGCCTTGACAGAAGAACGTGGGCCTCTTCCCTCCTCTTGAATTTTTTGGAACAGTTTGAGAAGTATAGGCGTTTGTTCTTTTTTTAGATGTTTGGTAAAAATCACCAGTGAAGCCATTGGATCTAGGACTTTTATTCATTGGTACTCATTAGTTGAAGTTGGTCTGTTCAGATTTTCTATTTTTGTCTTGATTCAGTTTTGGAAGATTGTATGTTTCTAGGAACTTACGCATTTCTTCCGGATTGTCCAGTTTGTTGGCATTTAGGTATTAGTAATATTTTCTTAACAATCCTTTGTATTTTTTTGGTGTCAGTTGTTACTTCTCCTTTTTCATTTCTGATCTTATTTATTTGAGTCCTCTCTTTCTTCCTTGATGAGTCTGGATAAAGGTTAATCATCCTTGTTAATCTTTTCAAAGTACATGCTCTTGATTTCATTGATCTTTTGTATTGAGGTGTTTTTTTAGACTTTTTTCTTTGTTTATTTCTTCTCTGTTCTTTATCATTTCCTTTCTCTACCCATTTTGGGCTTTGTTTGTTGCTCTTTTTCTAGTACCTTTAAGTGTAAAGTTATATTGTTTATTTGAGATTTTTCTTGTTTCTTGATAGTAGGCCTACAATGCTACGTTTTTTTTCCTTTTAGGACTGACTGCTTTAGTGGGGTCCATTAGATTTTTGCTTTTTGTTCTCATTTTCTTTTTTCTCAAGGCATATTTTGATTTTTTCCTTGATTTCATTCTTAACCCAGTCATTATTTAGTAAAATGTTATTTAGCCTCCAAGTGTATGTTCTTCAATTTTTTTCTTACGAGTTCTAGTTTCTTACCATTGTGGTTAGAGAAGATGCTTGATACGATTTCAATCTACTTAAATTTATTGAGGTTTGTTTTTTGTCTTAACATGTGATCTATCCTAGAAAATGTTCCACGCGTACTTGGAAAGGATCTGTATTCTGCTTTAAGTGAAATGCTCTGAAGATAGCAATTAAAACTATCTTTTCTTGTTGATTTTCTGTCTGGAAGATATACCCATTGATGTCAATGGGATGTTAAAATCCCCCACTGTGACTAAGACAGTCAACCTCTCCATTTACATCCATCAGGATTTGCTTTATATATTCAGGTGCTCCTATATTAGGTGCATAAAGGTTTATAAGGGTTATATCCTTTTGTTGGATTGATCCCTTTATCATTGTGTAGTATCATTCTTTGTTTTTTATTTAGCCTTTGTTTTAAAGTCTATTTTCTCTGATATACTGTTCCAGCTTATTTCATTTCCAATTGCATGAAATATTTTTTTTATATCCCTTTACTTACAGTCTCTGTGTATCTTTCATCCTGAGGTGGGTCTCTTGTAGACAGCATATATACGGGTATTGTGTTCTTATTCATTCAGCTACTCTATGCCTTTTTTAAAAATTCCCACGCGCGAGAGAGGAAGGGACAGAGGAAGAGAGAGATAAACATTGATGCAAGGGAGAAGCATTTGATTAGTTGCCTGGCATCCACACGCAGACTGGGGAGCATATGTGTCCAGACTGGGGATTGAACTGGCAACCTAGGTATGTGCCCTGGCCAGGAATCAAACCTGCAACCCTTTGGTTACAGAACTGTGCTTTAACCAGCTGAACCACACTGGCCAGGGCTACCCTTTACCTTTTGATTAGAGCATTTAAGCCATTTACAGTTAAAGTGATTATTGAATAAAGTGATTATTGATAGGTATGTATTACCATTTTATTCTTTTTAACTGTGATTTCTTCTTCTTTTTCTTCTTAAATAAAACCCTTTAACATTTCCTGTAATACTGTTTTGGTGTAATGAACTCCTTTAGCTTTTCCTTGTCTCAGAAGCCCTTTATTTCTCCTTCAGTTTTAAATGATAACCTTGCTGGGTAAAGTACTCTTGGTTGTGGAGGTCCTTGTTTTTTTTATCACTTTAAACCTATTGTGCCAATCCCTTTTGACCTGAAATATTTCTGTTGAGAAATTTGCTGACAGTGTTATGGGAGCTCTCTTTTAGGCAACTAACTATCTTTCTCTTGCTGCTTTTTTTTTGTTTGTTTTTGCAGGGGGCTGGATGGGCTGGGGCATTTATTGATGGTGCATGACAAAATAGGGCTGTCTGAGCCTCTCCCCTTCTTCAGGGTATCTGGGATGGAAACTGTGGAGGTCAGAAGATTCTCAGTGTGTTGGCAGATTGATATAGGGCAGCCACACTCTAGCAGCTGAAGGGATCTCCTCCTCTCCCTGTGACTGGTGTTCCAGGGGCCTTTTACTCCTTGGAGGCCATGTGGACCATAAGGTCCACCACCCTGTTGCTATAGCCAAATTCATTGTCATACCAGGAAATGAGCTTGACAAAGTGGTCATTGAGATCAACCCCAGCCCCAGTGTTGAAGGTGGAGGAGTGGGTCTCACTGTTAAAGTCACAGGAGACAACCTGGTCCTCAGTATATCCTGGATGTGCTTGAGTGAGGGCCCTCTGATGCCTGCTTCACTCTGCCTTGGTGCCACCATGTTAGGCAGGTTTTTCCAGGTGGCAGGTCAGATCCACAACTCACACATTGTGGGTGGGGCCATGGAAGGCCATACCAGTTAGCTTCACCTCTTGCTGCTTTTTAAGGTTCTTTCTTTGTCCTCAACTCTTGGCGTTTGAATTATGATGTGTCTAGGTGTGGGCCTCTTTGGGTTCATCTTGTTTGGGACTCTGCCTGGACTTGTGTGTTTTTCCTTTACCACATTAGAGAAGTTTTCAGCCATTATTTCTTCAAATAGGTTGTTGCTTGCTCTCTCTTCTTTCAGTATTACACTGCATGTTGTTCCAAAGGTCCTTTATCCTCATTTTGAATAGGTAGCTTTAATTTCAGAAACATCCAAGATACTTAGTGTCTTTGTCTGCCTGTCTCTCCCTTGCTCCTATTTACCTATCTACCCATTCATATCTGTCTCTCTATCTTAATATGATTGTTAGTATATTAGATATCTACTACACATATGTCACAAAACATACTACTTTATATACCTAATTTTTCCATATACTATGATAATGAAATATATAAATATATTTTTATAACATGATATGTAATGTTAGAACCGGTCAACTACCGTCAAACTGAGACATACTTCAACATAGTAGTTAAATATTTAGTAGGCATCGTTTCCAGACTGAGACCAGAACATTCATGCATCGTGTGATCTCATTCATCATCGTGGCATTCTTTGAATGGCCACTATTCCTAGGAAGCATTTTATAACAAATAACAAGTAGTTATGTATGTGTTTTAATGTTTTCTTGTTATTTTTTTCTAATATACAAGTTACTGAAGTTGATCTCAGTGAAGACCAAAGGGAAAAATTTTTTATTCAAATGTTTTCTGCTAGTTTTGGAAATTAATTTATAAAAGTATGGGTATTTTCACTATGTAAATAGAATCACTTTTTTCCTGTTATAACAAGAAATCTTGGGACAAAAATATTTCATGTATGGTCATTTCCCTGACCTATATTATATTGTCGAAATTATAATTTGCTTTAGATAGCAAAGTCACTTCACTTTATGCAACTTTTAATTTGTATTATTGTTTTGAGTAAACATGCAAATTGGATAATTTTAAATATCAGAGGCAGGTTTATAAGGGAATTTTTGTAAAAAATTTTTTTCTCATAAAAATCTCTTTAGAAAGTTTGATTTTAATTTGCTACTTTTTCACTTCAACATGGTGGGGAACATTTCTGTAGTGGTGAGAATCCGAAAGCCGAAGACACCCTGAATTCATGTAGCTGTATCTGCGGGAGAGCAGAGGATGTGGGGTGGTCTGTGTGAGAGTTCCTTCTCCAAGTTTCTTTCTGGGACTACAAATTACCTCAGACACTGTCTGCCTTATTGTTATTTTCTGAAAGCATTCTGTACTTTGGCCAGGCTAAGAAACTAGGTATTGCTACAGCCCATTGCTGATGGTTTAAAATTTATCTCCAATCTTATAAACCTGATAGAGGTTATTAACACTTTTTATATATAAAGGATCTTCTATTTGCTCCTTAGCTAAATTCACATTTACAACAATGGAACTGATAGCTCAGTCGACATTTGATAACACCTTTACTTTTTTTCAGGGTACTTTATATTAGCAGACTACAGACTTTTCTTTTTTAGTTTTATTTTTTAGTTATAGTTTACATTCATTATTTTGTTTCAGTGTCAGGTGTACAGCCTAATGGTTAGACAGTCATAAACTTTACATAGTGTTACCCCCCATAGTTCTAGAACCCACCTGACACCATGCATAGTTATCATAATATTATCGATTATATTCCCAATGCTGTACTTGACATCTCTGTGACTTTTGTGACTACCAGTTTTTACTTCTTAATCCCTTAACCTTTTTCACCCACCCCCCACCCCTGTCCCCTCTGGTGCAAACTTTTTCGTAAAAGGCTGGATAGTAAATATTTAGTCCAACCCCAAGGCGGGTCATATGTCATTACATATGTGGATGGGCCTGGCTGCTAAAACATTATATAATAAAACAGGTAGAGGGCTGAGGCCGCAGATTACCACCTGCCGTTTTGCGTAGTCTTGGATACCTGGAGACCACAGTCAGTCCAGGGATGGTAGAAAGAAGCCAGAAGGAATGATTCAGGAAGTAGAGACTTCATTAGTTTTTTCACTTTTTTCCCCTCCGACAGAAGTTGAGCAGCTATCCTATGGCAGGACTTTCTCTAGGCACTGGGGTTAAACTGAAGACTAAGCAGATGAGGATTCTTCCTCATGAAACCTTAATAATTTCCTGTTAGTGTGCATCTTATGTTTATCACCCTGGCATGAGAAAGAAGAAGCATTTTCCTAAAAGAATATATGTAGAAAACACTTGAAAAAATCCAACCTAAACATTGTTACCTAAAGACACCTCTGTGGTTCTCTTTAAATCAGTGTTTCTTATTTCTCAGTCTTGGCCCTATGTTAGAATCACTCGGGGAGATCTTAAAAACTCCCCTCATTTCCTAGACCAATTAAATCAGAATAGTTGTGGAGTGGATCCAGGCATTCATGGTTTTTGTTTCACAGGAAATTTCATTGTGCAAGCCAGAGTTGAGAACCATGCTTTCAATGAAGCGGGTTGCATGTGTGATGAAAATCTTAAAGCCAGAGTAGTAGAAAACCTTTACCCAGTTGCATTTTTCTAGAGATGAGTCAGTATTTAATTTTATCTAAGGTAACATTTTTCATTAACAGAACACTTATTTAAATTTCAAGTTTTAAATGAGCTCTTGTGCATTGATATTTTAAATAATGTTTACTTTCTACTCTTAAATTAGTATTTGAATGTCTTGTTTATAATTGTTTTATTTAATAGTAATTGATTGTCACTTTTAGGATACTGCTGGTCAAGAGAGGTTCAGGACATTAACTCCCAGTTATTATAGAGGTGCACAGGGTGTTATATTAGGTAAGTTTTTACTTTAATATCCTGCTTTAAAATATTATTGTTTATTACTGGAATTTCTGATTTTTCTTATCTGTAAAGGTCAATACAGTTTTTTCCTATAGGACTTCATTTATGTCACTTGAAGTTGTATTAACTTCATTTAGTATTAATGAATATTGAAACTTAAAATTTATCTTCACTCTTTTTTCTAGCAATTAAAAAATAGAAGTCAGACAAATTTATTTCATCTAAAAGCACATGTTAATAAGGAAATAATTGGTCTTAGAATGTTACCAGAAACTGATATTTAGTTAGCAGCATTTTATCAGTCCTAAAATATAGTGCAAAGCACTTAACACAAAATTTTAAAAAGAAAATGTGGGTTCTCAGTTGAGAAGTGCTTGTCCTTTTTTTGGTCTTATATTCGTTTATTATATATATATATAGGTCTGTTTTATGTGTAATACTTGATTCTATCAAATAATCACACCAACGCATCCCATTGGTAATCCTCCCTGAAATAGATCTTTGTGCACTTCGTGCACTTTTGGAACTTGAGATTTCATTACTGATTTCGGTTTTGAGGCTATACACACAATTCACGATATACACAAATTGGGTTAAGGTGATAAAAGTGGGCTGAAAGAAACCATAGGATTCAGAACAATTAAACTGTATTTTGCCTGCATTAGAGCTGCAATGTGAACAGCAAATGGTGTGGGTGTTTCCTAGCTCTTTCACTGCAGTGTGGAAAGGTCTTTTGAAATCTCTAGTAACTGTGCGGGGTGACTGCACGAAGGTGGGCAGGTCACTGATTGTCCTGGTGGAAGCTTCCCCAAGGGCTCATTTCTTCTCCACCTCCCCTTTCTTGGGTTCTTGTTTCAGTTTGTAAATTAGCCAGGGCTGTCTTGAACACATCTTCAGCCAGCAAGGAGCAGTGCAGTTTCACAGAGGGAAGGAAGAGTTCCTTGGTCGTATATGTGTTTTTGGTGGTCAAGGCTACCTCCACTCTCTTCTCTTTCAGCTGTTTGGTGGCTCAGGAGCTGGAGGCCATTGCAGAACCACAGCCAAATTATTTAAACCTGGCATTCACAATTTTCTCCTTTTAATCCACTGAATCTGTAATTTCCTGACATCACCATGTGCTGGAGCCCCCACAGATCCACTTCCAGCATTTTTAGATGTGTTGTCAAGAGACCCCCCTCATTTCTGAGACTTTCATAATGATCAACAACCTTCCAGAGCTGACAGCTGCTGCCTGGAGCAGCAGGGTCTGCCCCGCACACCTCAGACACAGCCCTGGCTGCTGCTGCCAAAAAGTGCTTGTTCTTAATGCTCCTGAGAAAGGCTTTAAAATTAATATTGATCATTTGTAGGAAGAATTCTTTTATATTGTGATTTGTGAGGCTTTGGTTCTGTTTCTGTTAATTTGACCAGGAGGTGTATTATTTTGGTCTTGGCATCTCCTAAGTTTAGAAAATACTGTAAATTAAGAAACCTCTTTATTATAGTGCAAAATAATGTAAAAGCGGTAACAGAGGAAAACAGGATTCTATCTACTAACTTTATTTTACATCCTGGTTGTGTAAGGACAAATTAGCAGGGTCATAGATGTTTAAATTCATGTAAAGTTTTTGGTATTTTGTCATAGATTTGAACCTAAACACTTGGTTTTTAGATAAACTTCATTTTTTGTTGTTATGAACGGGCATGGGGACAGCTGTTTTGCTTAAATTAGTTTTTCGTAATCACACAGGATATAACTTCATTCCTCCTACAGTGTGTGTTAATAAAATTGAAATGTGTGTATTTGTATTTTTTAATTTCTTTGTCCCTTCCATCTAGATCAGTAGACATTGAAGATTAAGCATCGAAGGCTTAAAAATACAGACTTAACCTATATATAGTAATGTTAGCTCCTGTTTACATATCAGAAATATGATGTTATTGCTACCTATTTTTATGCTTGTTTAATAAATAACTTTTTTACTTCAGTTTATGATGTCACAAGAAGAGACACCTTTGTTAAACTGGATAATTGGTTAAATGAATTGGAAACATACTGCACGAGAAATGACATAGTAAACATGCTAGTTGGAAATAAAATTGATAAGGTAAGAAGTTAGAGACTTGGCATTTGGCTCTATGTTTTGGTAGCTTTTCTTAATCTTTGTATCTATCTTTTAGGAAAATCGTGAAGTTGATAGAAGTGAAGGCCTGAAATTTGCACGAAAGCATTCCATGTTATTTATAGGTAGGTGTGTGAATACTTATTCTTTCATTATTAATGAGGAATTTAAAACAAAAATTTCTACTAAATTTTTCTCTATATATCATGAATTATACATGATATATATTTAGCTCATAGTTATCTCACAGTATAAAATGTAACTATAGAATCAGGTTCTTTATTTTTCCTTCTGTAAGAAAAAATAGGATCTAGTGTATGAGGTCATACAGAATCATTCCCGTCAGGGTGTAATGCATTCAATAAAGCTAGGCTCCTAGTGCTTAAGTCGTACCACTTGGGAACTAGCTAGAGATGCTTTATTGCAAGCTGTAACCAGGTTTCTGAATTAGAATCTTCATTTAAAAAATATCTTCATGTGATTTGTATGCACACTAGTATTTTAGAAGTGTGGTAGACCAGGGGTTGGCAAACTACAGCAGGGGCCAGATCTGGCCCCATCATTTCTGTGGAACACAGCCATGCCCAGTCACCGACGTGTCATCTGTGGCTGCCTCAGGGTTTAAGGCAGAGCTCAGTTACAACAGGAACTATATGGCCTACAAAGCCTAAAATGTTTCCGATCTGGCTCTTTACAGAAAGAGTTTTCTGACCCCTCATCTGGAAAAGTGGGCTGCCTTTTAAAAGTACAGGTCTCTGGGACTTATCATAGTTCTGAAAGAGGACCTAGGAGTTAGTATATAAAAACCACCCTAGTTGATTCTGATGTGAAGCTAGATACGGGAATTACTGATTTTCCTATTTCATAGTTTTAGAGTTGACTAGGAATTCAGAAGTGGGTACAGGAGAACATCAATCATATACAGGCAGAAGTAGGGTGGCACAAGGGGAAGATGTGGGGAGTTTGAGAAAGGAACTGAGTACTACCTCTACTACTTACTTACTGGGTGCCCTTTTGTTTCAATATTTATTAGTTTAGTCAATAAATATTGATTGAACATTGAGGATATAATAGTGAATAGAACAAACAAACTCCCTGCCCTTATGGAGCTTACGTTCAAGTATGGGAAACAGTTAAGTAAGTAATGCTATGAAAGAAGTAAAGCATTGTAAGGGAGGAGAGAATGACTGATGCAGGGACTGATTAGGGAAGGTTCTTTAAGGCGATGCTGTTTGAGCAAGGATCACTCCTATGAAGACCTAGAGGGAAAGCATCTCAGGTTGAGAGGATAGCAAATGTTTCTTGACTTCAGAACCAGTGTAGTGTATTTAAGAAAAAGGAAGAAAGCTTGTGGACTGGAGCCATGTGTGTTGGGGGGAAGGGTGGTAATAATGGGAGGTGAGGTTTAAAAAGGTCATGCTGGACCTCACAGGAAATGGTAAAGAAATAGATTTCATTCTAAGTGTGGTAGAAAGCAAGGGAACAGTGCTGTGATCTCATATTCTTTTAAAAAGGGGTGGGGGCCCATTTGTGTTGAAAATAGACCATGAGAAGCAGAAGCAAGAGGCTAGTTATTCTCTTACGATAGCCCAGATGACCAAAGCTGGTGGCTTTGACTGCAGGTGGCAGTGGTGAGTGGTGGAAAGTTGGCCGGTCTGGGAGATGCTTTGACGGTAAAGCTGACAGCCAGTGAGAGTTGGGGAAAATTCACTAATATTAAACGTATGGGGGGAGTTTGTTGATTTGGCTCTTTATATATTGTTGGCTGATTTTTACGCCATGATAGTTTCACAAGAAAATGTAGGAGTGTGACCAGAAAGGAATGTACTATGACATCTTTCCTTGAATTTCAGAGGCAAGTGCGAAAACCTGTGATGGTGTACAGTGTGCCTTTGAGGAACTTGTTGAAAAGATCATTCAAACACCTGGACTATGGGAAAGTGAGAACCAGAATAAAGGAGTCAAACTGTCGCACAGGGAAGAAGGCCATGGAGGAGGAGCCTGCGGAGGTTATTGTTCTGTGTTATAAACTCTGGGAAACGCCATCTCTTGCATATTTGATCAGATAGTGACATCTTTCTGTATATAAACTCTAACTGCTATTTTAGGGACCTTGCAGTTTGCACATATTTGTTTTGTATCATGGCAGTAAATATTTACAAGAAATCCCACTCATTGGCTTTCCCAGGTAAAATGTTATGGTAAGCATGCAATCTGCAGTCTGTAGTTTTTTATGTAACATAAAACTGGTGTACCTTTATAAGTACACTTGATTTTATGATTTACATTTATCATGTGATTTTGAAAAATCCACCTATCATATGTTGAGAACAAGGTCTACTTTTGGTCTTCTTTTTGCTTAAATACTCCTATCAATTACTGAATTAATTGGTATGTAGAATTCCTAGAACCACTGGGAGATTACAGGTATCATCCAATTTGGTGAATTTCTTCAGGAATAAAAAAGAGCATGATTCCACAGCTTTCCTAGGATGTCTGTTGACAGATTCTCTTTTAGTACTAAGCAAAATTCTTTGTACAGGGTGCAATCCAGGCCAATTTATAATTAAATCTCTGTTTTAATGATGCTTCTAAAATAGCATTGATATGTTAAAGAAGTTTGATCTTTTTAATTTAATTCAATGAGTAGCTCAGTTGCTTAACTGGAGTTTTAATTCTGTGATATGTGTACATTGGATTCATGACCCTTTGTGCAGCATTTTTAGTTATGTAATGTTTGGCCGAGTGGCAGTAAGGTTTTTCCTTACTCTGGTTTCAGAAGGATATGAATAGTGTGTCGATGTAGGTCATGTTAGTACTTAACACTTTTTAAACCAACACGTTTTGCTATAAATGTTGGTGGTGTTTGTCCAGGTACCTCCATTGTAGCTTGTGTGATATTTATGATAGCTGAATCTTATTACTTCCATAAATCGCTTGTTGATACTCAGAACCTATGCCTGTGTTTTGAAGGTTGGGGAGAAAAACACTAAATTTGCTTCCAGATTTTGATGTGTATGGGAAAATACTGTTACAATGAAAATCTTGGTAATTTATTGTAACAAGTAGTCAATATTTTATCAAAACCAACTTGTACAGACTAATAAATCTTTGCCACAGTATTCAGGTTTCTAACCTCTAGCTCTTGTACATTGTATATATATTTTTAGTCATATGTTAATTTAATTCACATTGACCTCTGCTATTTAAGCCCCCAAATAAGAAATTTATCTTTTCAGGCAAGTTGCTATAATACAGAAATAATACAAATTCCTGGGCAGTTTGTTTCCTGTATGCAGTTACAATGAATAAGCTTTTTTGTGGGTCATCTTTACAATACATGTGATAATGGATTTACTCTTTCTAAAATGTTTCTCTTCGCATAAGAAAACCTTACATTCTACTTGGTTCACACTTGTAGACCTCATTACGTGTGATTAAGGGTTTTATACAGTATGTATGTTTTTACCAAGTATAAAAACACTTACTGCTTTAATGTTGGAAGTAGTTAGCCAACACATGTGCTTAAGATTTGTTCATGTTATGTTAAAACTATAGATTTGTATATTCATGTAGTGTCTGTATTGACAACACGTTTCTGTTTGTTGCTTTTTGCTTCTTGGGCTATCTAACCCTTCTGTACATTGGATTATTGCCTTGATTTGGTCAGAATTTGGATACATATGGATCACTTAACTTTTAAAAACTAATTTTGTTTGATTTACATTGTAATCTTTTATAGTTTTGAATAAATATAGCCTGCTTTCCCTAGATGCATTTGTGCAGGAACTCTTCTACATTTCCCTGTTACTCTCATCAGCTGAGAAACCTCTGAGTACAGTGTTATCCAAGTTCTGTTGTATTCTGTGGCTTTCACTTTACTACTTTGTTGCAAGCTTATTGTTTCATGGTGGAGGTTTTCTAAGTGAAGTGTAGTATGTACAATTATTAGCCACAGAAAGGATTTTGTTAATTTTTCTTTTCTAATCACTCGAAGTAGTTTTAAAGTACTTTCTGCAGATGGTGCAAGTTAGAACAGTTAGGTTACAGTGTTTGTGTTCTAGGAGTACTAACAGAGACCTAAACAAATAGCTACTCAATTTATATTAAGTGTAGTAACATTTATTGAAAGTTTCCTTGCTGTGTGGTGCTAGATTATCTCATGAAACCTCACAACAACGGTCAGAGATGGGGTGGTACCATTATTATGCCCGTTTTGAAGATGAGGATAGTGAGACACAGATGTGTTGGGTCAGTTCCCAAGATCACACTGCTGCTCAGTGATAGAGCTGGATTTCAGTCAGTGCCTCTTCACTGCGGAGTCTGTGCTCTTTAATCACGGCTCCCTCTGCTCTGATTAGGTACCAGCTCGCTGTCTTACCACAATTGGGTTGAGAGGGTTTCCCTATTATTCTTTTTCGGATAGTTTGGTTATAGAGTAAACCCCTTTGATGTAAGCCAGCCATGTAAGTCGTTTAACCAGAAAGTTAAGATAGAGGAGGAGGTTGTGTCTTAGTTCTTTTATCTTCTCAGGCTGCAGTGAAAACCCCTGACTTCAAATAGTACAAAGTCAGGGGACTTACGGCACCTTAACTTTGTTTGTAATTGGATTTGAGAAAAATTAAACCTAAGGACAGCCTTTAGTTTAAATTAGAAATCTGGGGGTATTTTCATTTCAAGTGCTTAATTATCATCAACAAATTCACCTTGGTGTTGACTTTCAAATTGAGGTCAGTGGAATTGGACTTCATTTTGACACATACTTAAGAAATATACATGATTCTGCACAAAGTGTGGGGCTGGCCCCAGAGCTCATAGGAGCATCCTTCTTATGCCTCTACTGATTCTACTTGTGGGATGGCACAGACCTACCTCATTGCCATAACATCTTGAAATACAGTTTAGTGTATATTCTTCCTAATTTTCAAGTGAACTGGAATAATTGTTTAGGTATGCTCTAGATGGTAAGTCTTCTCTGTATTCAGGCGTTATGCTTCTATGTCTTGGGGTATATTTCACCTTAGGAAGTTTTTTTGTCTTTCATGTATTCTTCCCTAGTTGGATATGGGGTAAAATGTTTAATCAATTTTCAGAAGATATTTTACTAGTTCTGACCCCAGCTATGCCAAGATTAATTAACTATAGACTTTATCCTGGATTTTGTCCAGGAATGTTAAAAGAAGAGAATAGAAAGAAATAGGCCAAGTCAAGACTCAGAACTAAGGAATATAGATTTACTCAGGAATCTCTGATTTTTTTTTCCCAAAATGGAAATACCTATCAGGTTGGGGGAGGAAAAAAAGCAGTCATCTTCTGTTACATTATGGGGCTTTAAATTTTACTATTTGTTGCTAGCTTTTTGTTTTATATTTAGCAACCAATAATGTTTCTAATCGGGGTATAAAACTTGCTTTAAGTGCCTGTTAGTTAAAACTGTACACAAGCACCATTGTGTTAGCTCCTCTTCTCAGTCCTGCCTCCTCACCACCTCTCTCACACACACGGACAATAGTTCTTTCTTTATTAACCTGAAAACAACACATTATGTAATTTTATTTGTATTTCCTTGAATACTAATGAGATTGAGCACTTTTCATATTTTATTGGGTAAATATCTTGTTCATGCATGCTGCGGTTGCCCATCCAGCACCCACTTCTTTCTCCCACAAGGCCGCCCGCTTTTTCTTTGGATAACTCTCTCCCCATTGTCACGCATGTGGTTCGGATGGGATTGTCGTGCCTCCAGTCCTAGAGTGAGCCCAGTTACTTTTAAACAGTGCCACAGTGAGTGGTTCAGGGATAGGCAGGAGACTTCAAGCTACTTGGAGACGAGGTGTTTGCTGAGGCTTCCTCAGGAACTGTTGACAAAGACATCTGCTCAGAACTGTGATGTGAGGATTCACATCTGACCTTGATACAGCCCATTTTTCTAACATGAAGGAGCCAGCCTGAGGCCTGTACCAAGAAAACGAGAGGGATTCAAGCTTGGAGCCCTGAAGCAATTTGAAACCTCCATCAGATTGGAACTGAAGGCAAATTATTTGTAGACTTCACTTATGAGAGCCAATAAATTCCTCTTTTGTTTAAACCAGTTTGAATTGGATTTCCTTTTTTCCTATAACCAAATGTATGCTGTGTGAGTACACATACAGGGGCTCTTTGTACATCAGGTTCAATATGGGATGACTATCACTTGAAAAGTTATTACTCTTAAATAACTTATATTTTAGTGAGTTTACTTATATTTCTGTGTGGATATATACATATAATGAGATAACTTCAGCCCTGGCTGGTGTGGCTCAGTAGATTGAGCACTGGAATGTGAACTGAAGGTCACTGGTGTGATTCCCAGTCAGGGCACGTGCCTGGGTTGCAGATAGGTCCCCAGTTGGGGGCGTGTGAGAAAGCATCCTATTGATGTTTCACACATCCGAGTTTCTCTCCCTCTTTTTCCCTCTCTCTGAAAATAAAATAAAAACAAAAAGTAAATGAGTTAACTTCATACATGTGACTTTAAAGTGCCCTATTTTAGAACCAGAGGTTGGGCTTTCCTAATAAGGTCCAATATTGTGGAAGGTCCATACACCAAGACAGGCAAGCTATAAAGACAGGCAATGTTGGAAAGATTCTTGACAGATTTGGGGAGTGGAATAGGTGCGTGTATAGGTGCCTGAGGTGGAGTGGAAGAAAAGGTAGTTGGAAGTGAGGATGCTAAATTGTTAGATAAATCTTGGATGTTTCTTCAATCAATAGATAATACAGTTGAATTATTCCTAGATTCTGTTCTGTTTTACCAATGTAGTCTGCCAAAATCATAATCATTTGGTTTTATGGTGTATTTGTAAATCAAGGTCTTTCAAAATAAAGTACTAATTTTATAATAACTTATTTTGGCAGTCATTTTATCTAGTTACAAAATAAAGCTTTTTGGAATTGCAACAGGAGCTATATTAAATTTATATAGTATTAGATTATAAATAGACATTTTAAAAAGTCTTCCCATCCAGAAACATGGCTTATCCTTCCATTTATTCAGTTCTTCTTTCATGTCCTTCAATAAAACTTTAGCCTCTCTTTATAATATACCTTGTAGCTATAATCGTTAATGTATTCCTGGGCATTTTATCATTTTTGTCACTATATCAAGGTTTTTAAAACTTTGCCATTTTTCTCTGTCACAGAGAAAAATTAGCTACGTGTTTTTTATAAACAGCATCTTACCAAATTAGTACTGCTCATATATCTTTTTTTTTTTTTAATTTTATTTAGTTATTTTTTCAAGTACAGTTTTTTGTCTATTTTTCCCATCCCAGCCTCCCCTGCCCAATGTTTCTTATTTTCTAGGTTCAAAGTAATATCTCTGAGTAAAGGTAATTTTGTCTGATCTGAGTTACAACGGTAGTTTTAGTATTTTTTTCTAATGTACTATTTTTTAACTTTAAGAAATAGTGTTTAATATTTTAGAAAAGTATTTTGGTTTCATTCTTTCAATATTTGACTTTAATCTTATTTCAAATATCAGCTGAATTTTTCAGGGTTCTTTTGCCATGCATTGATACAAACAAATGGTTTTGTTGCTTGGTTAATTTTTTTTTTCAGAATTTTTTTATTGATTATGCTGTTACAGTTGTTCTATTCCCCCTTTATTCCCCTCCACCCTACCCCCCATCCCCACCATCACCCCCCCTTTAGTTTATGACCATGTGTCTCAAGTCCTTTAGATTCTATATTTCCTATGCTATTCTTGCCCCCCCATCTATTTTCTATCTACTGTCTATGCTACTTATTTTCTGTACCTTCTCCCCCCTTCTCCTCCTCCCACTCCCCTGTTGCTAACCCTCCTTGAGATGCATTGATACAAACAAATGGTTTTGTTGCTTGGTTTATTAATATAATGAATTACATTGAAGATTTCCCATTGCAAAGCCATCCTTACATTCTTAGGATATATCTTACTTGTCTAAAGTGTATTTTTTTCTTTTTTTCCAATTACAGTGTATATTTAGTATTTGTATTTGTTTCAAGTGTACAGCATAGTGGGTAAACAATCACATACATTACAAAGTGTTCTGCTTGTTACTTCCTGTACGCAACTTGGTACCATACATAGTTATTACAATATTATTGACTATACAGTGGTTCTTGAACTTCATTCATTCTGGAAGGCTGTTTGAGAAGTGATTTGTTCAAAAACTGAATCATTTTTTCCCTATTAGAAATAATGCAAATTAAATTAATCCATTCCAGACTCCCAAATAATTCTGTTTAAACCTTTCTTTTTTACATGTCTAATGTACTGCTAAATCTATAAACACTCTAAAAACAAATGAACAGGTAATGTAAGTAGAAATTTACCAGAAAGGAAATGAAATGTACAATAAAAAAATGACAGTTTACACACACACTTGAACTTACCTTTAATGTCGAGAGCGACTGATGATTGAATATGGAGAGGAGGGGTGGAGGGATGGTACTGTTTGGAAGGGGAGCCCCCTTTTATAAAAACATTAGGTCGCTGCTCGGGGTTCTTCCTCTGATTGTCCTTTTCCTCCACTGGACCTTGCTTCAGGCTCACTCGGCCTCTGTCTCACTGAAAACCTGTCCAGTGATGTTTGTTTTGGCCCGAGTTGTATCCCTTGCTTGAAGTGAAACTGTGTTGTCACTGGACAAGTTGATCCCACGGATTGCTACTTCTCTGTCAGGGTGATATTTCTCAATGAAACTGCATTTTCTCCGTTTCCCAAGCATCTCCTAGACAGCGAAGGAGGAATAT